CCCCAAAACCCCAAAACCCCAAAACCCCACTCCTCTGCAGACATATTGAAAAATAAAATTTAAATTTAAGTTTTTATAATAATAAAATGGAAAGTCTTACTACAGCTATTGAAGAAGAGAGCACCCAGATAATCAGGTAACTGAAAGCTTAGTTTTAGAATATTTTAAAATTTCACTCTCAAATTTGCAGCAAGTCCCAAAACTTTAAAGTTTAACCAACATTTTCCAACTTTTATAATAATTTCACAGAAAATTTCTTGGCCGAGAAGTTCATAGCAAAACTAGAGAGAGTTTATAAGCCTTACCTCTCTTAGATTTATTTGGGACCTCCACAGATAGCATTTCTCCTAAAGCCTTAAACCTGGGAGTTCTCAAAATCTAAATAAGCACCCTTTCATCTCCAGCTTTCTCACGGATCCTAACACTGATCTACCTCCTCGTTCGCCTCTAATTGTGCAGCCTAGAGAAGTCTGTTCTGGCAAAAACCAAGAAGCAAGAGGTCACCACATGTCAGAGCATCCTCTATAAGGTTCGTCCAGATGAAGAAATTAAGCAATTGGATCCAGACTCGGAAAAAGTTTCACAAAACAGTTTACTAAACATTGAGGTGGACGAAATCAGAGATGAAAAACTGTTGAAAAGTTTGAAGTGTCTTAAGGTTTTTGATATAGATTGCCTTTATTTGACTCAGATCGATTCTAAAAATAGGCTTTTTGTTTTAAATTTCTTACAATCCTCATTCCCAAATAAAATTAAGATTCTCGATTTTTGATGCAGTGGCCTAATGGATCTGAAAAGGTCGAACTACTTAAACTCCCTGACCAGACTCACCTCCAAAGTCGTTCAAAAAATTTCCTTTGGAAATTCCATCATCGGCCTGCCCCAACTCAAGAGGCTCGTGGCAGCTTTCAGACATGTGAGAACTTTGGGATTGGTATGGTGCAGGCTATCTATCCCAAGTGTTCCTGATTTGACAAAGGCTCTGAAGAATTGCCAAATCCAGAAAATATATTTATTCGGATCAGGAGACTCGATTAGAAGTGATTGGGAGAACAACTTCGACGAGTTTGAGAACTTGGTACAAGGGTTAGCAAGCTCTCCAGATTTAAGATTGAGTCTTGAAGAAGTAGATGTCCGTAACTGCTGAGTAACCCAAAATAAAGTTGAACAAGTTTTGAAAGAAAACCAGCTCGGAGGAGTTAACATAATCGATTAAGATTAAATTTTGGTTAAATTTCTTATTTTTACTTCTTTGGCTCAAATCCTGCTTTCTCCATATTTGACACTTGGTTACATTTAATATATTTCAGGGTTTCAATTATGCTCGTGTTTATTGGGGTTTTGGGGTTTTGGGGTTTTGGGG